GTCTAGAACTTCAGAGTTCATTACTCGGCGCCCTTAGAAAAATCACATAACCTCTCTGGATCTCATTTTCTTCTACACAGTGAACTCTTTGTGAGTCAACACTGCTCTTCTGATAATTCAATTTTTGCATTATTCTATAAAAAACTGAAATTTTATGATTTTGCTGCTTCCTCTCTTTCCCCTGTTCATCCCAGGCATGGCCTCTTCTGCACATCCTTTCCAAATGTATTATACAAATTATACTTTTGCCTAGTTACTATGGTGATCGGTGGCAACTCAAACACTTGGGAGTGCTGAATCTTGCACTTATCAAAAATAATTCTCATTGTTCCTTCTTAACCTTGTGGGGCATGGAGAAGTTTAAGAGCTGGTAGCTGGTGGTAGTTAATAATCTGAACATATGCTGGAATCCTCTGCAATCCAAGAAGTAGATGCATAAAAGAAAGATTTCAACAGAGCAGCCCTTAATAAGCTCAAGATTGTAAGGTGCATCAGTGAAGGGGACTCTAAGGGGAGGCACCCCTTGACCTGATTTCAGCAATGAATTAATTAACTGCATGGTGAATTTTTACTTTTGGAAAATATAAAAAAATGCCTAAAGATGAGATGAAATGTTGAGATAGTTCTTGTTAAGCATAATTCTTGTTTCTTTGAGGGTCAAACATTACATGCACATGATTTTGGCTCTCCAATGTCTCCAAGCCCAGAGTGCAATTCTTCACCATAGTAACAAAATCTCTTGCACTTCCTCCAAACCAGGGGTTCCATTCTTCTCAGTGTTCAAAACGGCAGCCCTTACCCTGATGATGGAACAGAGAAGGGTTTTATACTGAGGGCGCCCAACTCTGCCAATTTGCCTCAGATGCAGGAAACTCAGTTTGCGAAGTCGGACAGTCTCAGGCCAATCACAAAAATTCAGTCACTTTAGAAGTTTGCTTTGAATTTTACAGTATTTAATTATATAAAATGTTGGGTAAAATTTCCACATGTAAAAAAATCAAGAAATTCTCTATAATTATTCAGGGTTTTCATCCTCTTTCAAAGTCACACCGGACACGTTGGCTGTTCACTTCGGAGCAGTGAGTGTTAAGCCACGGCTGTTGGCAGAGTAGTGGGGACAGAGTTCTTCAGCCTGTCACAGTCCTCCTTCCTGACTACCAACACTGAAGCCAGGACATTATCTTCATTCAGATGCTATTTTTTTATTCTCAACAAATTTCACCTGTTTCTGTTATCCAGCTGATGTCTACGAGTTTTGCCCCTATTTTAAAAATATTTATTTTAATATGTGCAGTATTTCCAAGAAGCCCCAATTGCTGGCTATACACAGAGAACACTTTGGTACCTTTCATGACTTCTGAAACTCAAGTGGATTGTTCACTGACTTTCCTCTCTGTTTATTCCTAAAATATTAATACATAACACTTCGATTATGCAGCGTTTTTCTATTCCGCATGACACCATGGGACACACAGAAGCAAGAGAGAAAGGGTAGAGGGAGAGATGAAAGAACGGGGGAAAAAAGAGAGAAGTTAACTATTAATAAAATCTTACCCAGTCATTGATTTACTTTTTTTTTTTGGTACTGGGGATTGAACTCAGGACCTTGCGCTTGCAAGGCAGGCCACTGAACCACTGAGCTAAATCCCCAGCCCCTCACTGATTTACTCTTAATACAAGCTTTGTAAAATGTGAGTTGAAGTTAGGAGTAGCACTGAAGAATGGAAATATGTGTTTAAAAATGTAAGCTCCTTCAGAGAATGCACATTTTTTTATTGGTACATTTTATGTATACGGTACAGTTACATTCATCTTTGTGATCTTGTACCTTTACATGACTTATCTTGGTCCTTATTTTTTCCCTATTACCCAGCCCTCCCTTCACCTCCTACACCCTTCCCTATTTACAAAAACTTTGTTTCCATTTTTTCCTTTTCTCTTGTCTTTTTCTTTTCCCTTCTTACCTTTCCCCTACCCTTTCCACTTGCCCTACACCTTTAGACCTTTTTTCCTATTACACAATATAAATTATGCATTTTTATTCTTATTCACATTTTTAGTTTATCACACCAGAGAAACTATTTGGTGTTTACACATGTGGGTACTGTTAATTTCACTTAAGAGTATGTCCTCAATATTAATCCACTTAGCTATAAATGTCTCTAGTTTCTTGTTCTTTATGGCTGAGTAGTACTCCATTTTATTTAAAAACAAAAAAGAACATTTCTTCTTTATCCAGTCTCCAATTGATGTACAATTGGGCTGTTTCCAAGTTTTAGCTATTAAAGACTGTGCTGCTGTAAACATGGGTGAGCATATATCGCTGTGGTATTATTCTTCTAGAGAATGTACATTTGTAAAGAAATTGTATAGCAATTTGAAGAAGGCAGAAAATATGATTTATTTTTATAGTTAATCATTTCACTTCACAGCATCTGAGAGAGGCCCATTTGTACAAGATGCACAGTGGTGCTTATTTTGCATTTATTAAAATTGCAAAGACTCAAAAAGAAACTAAATGACAAGAATAACTAAATAAATTGTGACGTACCTATTTTATGAAATGTTTTAGAGTTAAAAGAATAAGTCAGATCTTTACCTTCTATGTAAGGCATTAAAACTCAGCAATTCAAAAGAAAAAAGCAGTGAAACAAAATACACAATATAAAATATTACATAAACATATAAAAATGACACTGTATGTAACTCTTTTAGGACATGTAAAGAAATGTTCTGGGAAGAGATATGACTTGCAAATGATAATAGTTATCTCTGAGACAAGAATACAAGTTTGAATGTCAACAAAGGAAATTCAGGCTATATATCATTTTGCATGAGGGGGAATTAAAAGTACAGAAAAATAAAGTAAACATTAAGTGTCCATATAGCTTGCTAATTCACTATCATTAACTATTGCATTTCATTTTCAATCTTTTATTTCCAAATATTATGCACATTTAGTATAGATTGTCAATGTTCCATACTACACATAAATAAAAGTAATACCCTGTATCATACCTCTCAGAAGAAAGAGATCCTTTCTAATACATGGAGATGATTCCCCAAGAGAGGAGTGGATAGCTTTACAGGGATTGTTATCTAATTATAACTTTATGCTGTACAGAAATGCATTTTTTAAAAATGAAAAGTGCTCACTTCAATTCTCTCTAAATTAACGGAGAGATTAAATTAAGGTTCTTGAGTTTAAAATAAATGATGCAGTGTCATAGAGATATTAGTCTCTAAATTATAGCTTAGAGGTTAAAGTGATTTTAAAAAGATAAAATCACGAGGGGATGCTTCTCTCCCTGTTCCAGCTCAGCGTTGAGCCACTCTCTGCTACGGTGAAGGTGAGGCTGGCAGCCGGCTCGCCACCTCCTGCCTGCTGATGCTCTGAGTTGCTTTACACTGGGAACATCTTGTAATATCTTGTTACCTAACCCAAATCGGGTGAAGTTTTAAATGTAAATGTATTACTAACAAACCCACTATCCGTCCTTTCTGCCTGGTTTATCCAATCTTGAAGGATTTTGTCTTAGCATCTTAAATTCTGTGGTTTGAAAATTAGTTTGTTTGTTTGTTTTTGTCATAGAGTTGGAGGTCAAGCCCATGCCCCTGGGTATGCTAGGCAAATAATCTAGAGTTGAGTTACACCCCCAGCCCACTTTTTTTTTTTTTAATCAGAGGGATTCATGGATGCTTCATTGCTTGGGATATTTTGTGTTAATCTGCCTAGCTATTTCCTTTATATTTAAATACCTTTGGTTGCAATAACATACGTGTATCACCATTTTGTCTTTAGATATTGTAGCTGTATAAAAAATCTGAGAACTATCTGGTATTTTTAAGTACTTTTAAATCTTTTTTCTATTTTATATGCCTGAAGTGTTATCTTTACTCTTGCTGCTTGGTGGTGAACTAGTAGCTTTATATGCAATTTTTGTGGAGTAATTAGTAATCTTTCAAGTTCAGACAAATGTTTTTATTTATGTTTTTATATATTTGAGAATTGTTTTCTTCACATTTAGTCACATACTCCAATTATTCTTAAGTCAGAATCTATTTTCCAATTTATTTTTCTTTTTATATACGTTTGCTATGGTTAATTTAAATCTTTCCTTCCTATTTGAATTGAATGCTGAGCAACGTCAACTTGGTGTCTCTTTGTTTCTCTTCATTTATTATCTTGATGTCATCTTGAATTTGTTCCCCAGGTCAGCAGTGTTTTTGCCCAGGTCCTCCTGTCTTCCTTTATGTTTCAGTTGTTGTTTTATCAAATAGAGTTATTGTTACAGAGTAATACAGCAGGAAGGGACAGGGAATATTTTCTCTCTGTACTTTTATATATTTCTTTTGGACAAGATTTTTTCTTTCTTTCTTTCTTTTTTTCCTTCTTTCCTTCCCTCTTTCTTATTCATTCCTTCTTCTTTTCCTTTCTTAGGTTACCTTGATAACAGAGACCCTTGGAATTAAATCAGTTCTGCTACTCTGTGTGTCACTCTAAAGTCCCAACATTTGTCAGCAACATCCTGTTTGTTCCCCTTGTCATAGCTTATAACTCTCTTTTTTAAAAAAGTGAAACATCAATAGTAACCACACTTTTCTCCCATTTGTGTCTTCGTGGGACTCTGAAGTACACTTGGCACCCTTGGGCACAGCCCCCTGAGGAATGGGTCCCCAGGAGAAGTAAGCTCACTGACCCCAGCTTCACTGCACAGTCATCTGTGTGCAGTCATGGGCCACTTGATTTGGAAGACTCTCAGACTTGGCTGAAATTCCTAAATGTATTTCAGACTAATAGCTGTGTAAGTCCCATCTCCTGAGTAAGATAAGTCTAGTTCTGAGATCTAACGTAGTAAATCTGACTTAATGGATCTGGGGTGGGACCCAGGCATCCTTATATTTTTAAGCTACCCGGAAAGTCCTGCTAATGCGATCAGTTCGTGAGCCCCTGCATTTTTCTGCACTGTTGTTCTTATGTCACTGCTATTACAAATCAATTCAATAGTGGGGTTACATTTTTCTCAGTTCATTAAGGTTAAGAGCCTGAGAAAGAGCATCATTTAACTCTTTAAAAATTGACATAACTTACAATGGTCTATGGTACTGTAGCTACATTCCCTAAATTTCAGAGTCTCATGAGAAGAAATAAATTTTTCCTCCATGGCGTAAGAAAATTCTGGCACATATGTCCCTGATTGCATGGGTCTCCAGAGGGGCTTTGCTCAGAGATTATCCTAAGCTAGGGATAGGAGTCTCCTGCACTCACCACGTGATTCAGAAATGTGCTTGTCACCCTCCGCATGGCAACAGAAGGAAGAGAGCAGAAAGACAGGATGCACACCACTCCCTCAGTGTTACTCCACAAGGCACCTCCTGCAGAGCGAACCAGACGCAAGGCAAAGGGCTGTGAAGACAAAGTATGTAGCAACCAGCCTGTCTCTACCACACAGATTGTCTCATGTTTTAGTGCTTTTGCCCAGCAAATATTTGCGTTATTTGCTGTATCTCCACTTAGCTTTTAAATAAAGAAGAAATTGAATGATTTTAGCTAGGAGGCCTGGCCAGGAAGAGACTATGCTGCCTCGGAAAGAGTTTTCTAATATGACAAAAACGCATGGTGGATTGTGTAGGATACTACACTTGATCTTAGCCAAAAGGCCGAGAAGCGATGGATTGTGTAGGATAAACAAACAAGCAAAGTCAAACTGAGATGTTCAGCCAGACAATTTAACCTAGACATAACCATCTGCAACAACCCTAGATTTTTTATTTTTAGGCAGGAATGTAAAGATTACACACACATCGTGCCAGTGATGTGACAGTGAAACAAGATTCTTTGCCAAATTCTGCAAAGTCACCATAGCATGGTAGTAGACAGGCAGAAGTCAAAGCTTCTCTTTTAATTCCTTCACAGTGTCTTGGTTGGACAGGTAGAGTCCCTGTTTCCAGATCATTCTTTGAACTACAGATGCAAAACTGGGAAAGTAGCCATGGTTATAGGAAAATTAAAAGAAAACATCTAAAGATCAGACACCATGCCTCAACAAGAGCCTCCAATTTATGTGGAATAATAAATAATAAAACAGGACAGTCTAGGCAAGGCAAGAAAAATGGATTTGTTCCCTGCAGGTGTTTGGAGCAGGACTGGCTGTTGGAACAAAGTGCAGTTTCTCTCCCTTTCGAATTCAAGAGCCTCCGCTTTTGAGGAAGCTGGTGAACACGCAGTCTGCAGGGAAATAACCTGACAAGCTGTTGTTCACCCTTCCCCACAATATACCCACTCTCTCCGAAGTGCTGGATGGGATGGTTCTCTATCACACTGGGCTGCAGTGTGTCACCAGTCCCCTTGGTGAGACAGCTCCTCCAAGCGTGGCTCCAGCGTTAACGCTTCGCACAAAGCCTGTGGGCACAGAGAGGAGGGCTGAGGTGCACACTCTGACCACTCTTCTTGCCACACTCTGAGACTCCCCTCCGGTTGGTCACTCCAGGGAGTTCTTCACCTGGTAAGTGCAAAGTTGCCCGGCTGTTTTCTTAGAGAACGTGACCTCAGATTTGCACAAAGGCCCCTTATAGGAGACTCTGCGCCATCCCATGTAGGACATTTTCTGGCTGTTTTTAGATCCGAAATGTTCTCTGCTTTGAGGCAATAGACAGGCGGGCACTCTGTCTTTAATTCATGTCATCACAGTCAGGTTGGAAGGGACTTTTCCTCTTCTCTCATTTGCCAAGGACAAAATGCAGACTTTTCTTCTGAGCGCTATAGGATGCATCACAGACCTCCACTGAGAAACCAGAGCCTTTGTTCTCCTGTCTCCATGTGCTACGATGAAAGTAACGGAAGAGAACTGGTGGAACGAAGTTTGTCACTAGACTATAGTCTCTGGATCACCACTCTATGTACTTCAGTTTATGGAGACCCTTGCAGCTGCTGTTGTCTGTGAGATGGATAATATTACTCCCAGAGAAAGCAGGTAACTAATGCAAGGCCATGCTTTCGGTGGGGGTCAGAGCTGGAAGCCAGGCATCTGTGGCAGAGCCCCACATGTGAGCTCAATCCCTGGGCATACTCCAGAGCTTCAGCGGTGTTTCATAAACTCCCGATGCTCCCGATGCTGTGCTGTGTAGAAGGGCAAGAGTGCGTGGCCAGCAACCATTCCCTTGCAGTCTTTGCGCGTGGTGTGATGTCATTTCTATTACACGACCACTTTGAAAATGTGTCATTTTTTCTGTACAATTCAGACTCAACACCTGCTTCCTTCTTCCCACGGTTTCTGAAAGCATGTTTATTTATCTGTTTTTCCTTAACAGTGTCTTGGAACATCCCCATAGGTCTAGCATAGTTCCACATACTGGGAATATAGCTGTAGCAGGAGGTGGGGACACCGCAGCACGGCTGGGGCAACTTGGGCTGGACCTGACAATTAAGGAGACTTAGTAACCGCGGGCCGACACCATGAGCACCCGACACAGGATCGAGCCAAGCCCTGCACCCAGTACCAATCTTCTGCTCCAGAAGCGTCCCAACCTGGCTCCTGACATCGATCTTACAGCACAAGATGGAGTGGGAGCACCTGGATAGACTGCCAAGGAAGACGTAAGAGTCAAGCAACTCTGGGGCCACTGCCCTCTTGTCCCCCTGGGGGTGGCTCATCTTGCTTGCATGATGCATCTTCTCTTTTCCCTTCAAAGCACCTTTACTCCCTGAACACTTCTTTTGTGCTTCTTCCCTTTTTTCCTTTTCTTATTTCTGTCTTAAAGAGTAATCTTTCCTATCCACCAGCTTTTGATCAGGACAAATAAGAGTCTGAGAAACACCGGTGGGCTTTAATCTATCCCATAACACACTGATGAAGCACATGGCATAGACATGAAGGAAACCACAGCTCAGTGGGCGGATCCAGTAAAGGACCTCAGTGAAGCCCAACGCTTCCAAACCCAAGAACTGGTGTGGCATGTGACCATCAAGCAGAGACCTAACGGCATGAGCGAGTGAGCTGAATTAAGCCTTGGGGAGAGGATATTCCAGTCAAAAGGACTTATGGGAAGGAGAGAGCTCAATAGGCCTCCAGAACAAGGTGTCTACTTAAGAGCATATACTCACAAACCCTCTGGAATTTATTGTCATCTCTTCTGGATTACACTTAATAGCTCTGATTTATTTACATTTTAAATTAAAGAAGCAGGTGGCAAGATTTTTGAGATCTCCTGCAGGTTGGCGAAGGAGTGAGCTTTTACCTTGTTGGATGGCTTGTCCTTTAGAAGCACATGGCATAGCAAGAAGTTCTGAGGGCATCCATGACCAGAAGTAGGTGGATGTGGAGAGAAGACTGTGCATCAAGGAGAATACAGAAAAGCAGGAGGGAGTGTACATGTGTGTGCGTGTGTGTGTGTGTGTGTGCATGCACATGTGTGTGTACTGCAGAAGTGGTCCACTCAATGGCAAGGAATGACAGCTGCAGTACCTTAGGAGAAAAGATAAAATACAGGAAGCAGTAAGGGGAGTTTATGTTGGTGCTGGGCAAAACAAAACAGAAAAGAACAGGAACCCAAAGACAAAAAGTTATATCACACATTATTGTAGGAGGCAATCATTTGTGATTACACCAACTTCATTGATTGATGCAGTCCATCATCGTTTATGTGCTGATCTTTCATTACGTGTTGAAATGTTCAGTTTTTGGCAAAATGGCTTTCACCCTTCGCTTCCTCCTCTGGGTCAACTTCATTTTAGCTTAGAGAAAGTAGTTTTGCAGCTCACTTCTTCACTCCTTTTATTTTCACCTGCTCCTCTAAATGCTTTTTAAAGTAATTAAACTCCCCTCCCATGATCTCCTGGTCAACCCTTCCACTTTATTTCTCCCATACCCTTCAAAAAGGAAGTTTTTGAAATATGGGCAGATACCTCTTATATAATTTATTGTGTTCTGGCTCCTGTGCCCATAATATCATAGAGACTTCTTTTCCTCGGCCAAAATAACCCGAGCAGACTCTTTTTCTGCCTTTGCTTCCGTACTCTCCAGAATTATTTAACACCGTGAGCTGCAGACTGCTTTAGGGCTGATCCGCTGAATCTGCCTTCGTTCCCCTGGGACCAGGCCTCCGTCTACCCTGCAGGATGCTCATGCATTTGTACTCCTTTTCCTGTCCTTGTCGGAGTGCTGAGGGTTGTTTGTCTTTGGCTCCTTCTCTTTGCACCCCAAAGTTCATCCACTGGGAATCATTTTCTCAAGGAGGAATTCATCACTCATATTCTGATGAGTCCGCTGCCGACGGCAAAATGTTGACACCCCCTGCGAACGGGTTCTCTCTGAGGGCATGGCCACCATGGAACGCGCTATTTTACCCCAACAGCGAAAATCAGCACCACCAGCTCAGCCCCTGGTTCAGACAGTAAGAAGTTACCTTTGTCGCCTCTCTTCTTCAGCCCCATTTCCAAGTAAACATCTAATCAGGGTTCCGTGGGCGCTAATGCAAGCATCTTTCTGTCTCCCAAACCTCCTTCTTCTCCTCCCACCACACTCTCCTACATTTATTCCACTGCACACTGAAGATAGCAGGAGTCCAGAAATCCGTAACTCCGACCCTGCCCCACTCTTGCGTCTGATCCCTCTGCAAAGTCCCACTAGGTTCATAAAAACACTTGTCTCAGAGGCTCACCTTTTGCCTTAAGGCGAGGGATTTTGTCCATCACGTACACACCTGCCTACTACTGACACAGCTGTTTCCTGACACCAGATAGGGTTTGACACGTAAGCTATGCAGTATGCCCAGCAAATGATATTAAAATTGTATATTAATCTTATTTATCACAATGAATACATCTTAAAACATTTCATTTATGATAAAGATGATTGATAACTTTTCTGATGTGGAAGATGATAATTTTATTTTTGGTTTTGCATTTTTTTTGTTGTTGTTTAAGGTTTTTGTTTTTGTTTTTTGTTTGAGACAGAGTCTCACTATGAACAGTAGCTCAGGCTGGCCTTGAACTCACCATGTAATCCAAGATGGCCTTGAATTCATGGTCACTCTCCTGCCTCAGCCTGGGATTATAGGCCTGTATCACCACACCCAGCTGTGTGAAGGATATTTGAGTTGAGGAAATTTCTTTAATGCACCTAGATACAAGCAAACGACTATCTCACCTTGTCCCTACTTCAATCATAGATATTTACTTTGTGTTACTCTAATATATATATTTTTTTTAAATTTTTTATTACCGGGGATTGAACTTGGGTTCTTGAGGCAGGTGGCAGAACCACTGAGCTAAATCCCAACTCTATTATATTTGATGTCATTTTTCTTACACCTACAGACACTGAATCCAGGACATGTAAACTATACTCTTACCTTCCTAACAGATCAGTGGCCCCTAGTAAGTTACTTAAATTTTCTGTGTCTCAGTTTCCACATCTGCAAACTGCAGATATATCATGTAGGGTTGTTTTGAGGAATTAATTAACTAATACATAAAACATTATAGAATAGGGCCTAGACAAAAATACATATCTCAAAGTATCTCAAATTTAATAAATATGCATTACTATAATTATGATAAAATTATAGTAATTATTCTTTCTTGAGTGCTCCTTTGTTTTTTTAATATCTTCCTACTTCTCCTTCCTTTCTACTTGAGTTTCTGTATTTTGTGCATAATACAATGTATTGAGTACATTATTTCTCTCTCCTTAAGGCTGTGTTTTCTTCTGGAGTTTGGGGAAGCTGACATTCACAGTTCATGGTAAGTAATGTCCTACAAATTAGGTGGACACGTGAAGAACGCTAGGGAATTTAAAGTCTTGGGGACATTTAAAGGCATTAAAGTTAATTGCTCCAACTGGAATTTATCCAGAACAGCCATGGAAAATGCATCGTGAAAATTTTATTGACTATTAGTGGCAGAGCCCTCGATTTTGTATGTCCTCTAAATGACAGCACCTCCCTTCTCTCAGTTGTTTGCCAAAAGTAAAAGGCAAATTCAGGATCCTCAAGATTTAGGCTCAAGATTTAGGCTCAGCAATTCCTTGGACTGAGAGCATTGCAAAACTGGTTCATTTCAGGGGTAGCAGCAGCAGTACCCAGCAAGTGGAACCCTACCAGGAGGAGACTCGAGTATGGCTTTTCCTGACTGGCACCTCCTAGCCTGCTAATTACAAGTCATAGCACGGGCAGACTGGTTCACTGCTGCACGGTTTCAGTCTCCTCATCTAAAGAATGGGAATAAAAACATGAGGATCACAGGAGGGAGCATTACCACTGTGTCTTGCCCAGGGCCTAGATCACAATAACTGATCTACAAATATTAGTTTTATCAATGTGATTTCAAAAGCTTCCTTTCTTGTTTGCAGACTGTGGCTGAAACCAAGAAGAATAAGTCTCCCCTCACCCAACATCTCTCAACCCTGGAAAAAGGCAGCAATGTCCTCACATCTGGGCCAATGTTCCAGAGAGTTTCTGTACAAATTTGTACCAGCGCTAGCACTGGTGAGACGTTCTTCTGCCCTGTTAAAGATCAGGATGCTGAGTTCCTTATTTAACGGAGCACAGGAAGCGTTTTGATGCTTGGTAGGAGCTCACTGCTATTCTAAGTGCTAAGACAACTAGGGCTCCTGTTTTCAAAAAACTTAAATTTTAAGGAAAACAGGTCAGAATGAATAAGCAAATAATGCAAGACAATTACTGAATGTCAGGATTGCTGTGCATCAGTGGACACAGAAACGAGAGGGACAACTTCTGGGTGGGGGTTATCTGTTTATTGATGGGCCTGTCTGATAGAAATGTGACCTAAATATGACTACAGGATACGAAGAATCCAGCTCTGCCTTGGTCCCTGAAAAGAGCTTTCTAGGGAGAGGGGAGAGCACGCTGAAAAGTCTTGAAGTGAGAATGACCTTGGGATATCAGAAGAGCAGAACAGAGGCGGTGTAGCCGGTGCATGGAGACATTTGGGAGATGCAGGAGGAGAGGAAATCAGAGGAGGCAAGAACCGGGTCAGAACCCTGAGACACTGGGCCCAGCTTGGGCTACATTCTGTATTCAGGAGGCAACGTGTGTGAGTTTTAACCGTGGACAAGTCTTGACTTGAATGCTTTTAATGTTTTCAAAGAACATTTTGGCTAAGAATGTTGAAAAGTTTTAAATTTGCAGCTGGAAAGTACCAATAAATCTTTAATCCCTCGTTTTATGTTTTCAGATGGAAAAACTAGAGTTCACAAAAACAAGTATTTATTCGAAAGGCTTACATTTTGTTAAAAGTAAAAGCAGACCTGTCATGTAAAGGTACAAGATCCCAGTAATGAATATAACTGTACTGTATACCTAGAATATAGCAATAAACTCAATTTAAAAAAAAAGTAAAAGCAGGATCTAAAATCAAAACTTTGGTCTCGGCCTACGCTCTTTACACTCAAGTGCCGCAGACTGATTAGAATCACACAGGCTGTCCTGATTGTTTAATCACAGGAGAACTTATTAGACAAAGTAGCTCCTCAGAGCTCCCGGGCCTGAGGATGGCCCATCTACTGGCCACTGTATCTGCCTTGACCTTTTTCTCCTGTTCTGTCTCTCTCCTAACTGATTTGTCTTTCTGAGAGCAGCAGAGAACAGCATGCCTGTATCCTGGTGCCATTCTGATGATCCAAGTTTGCTCATTCTGAAGAAGGCAGTGGGTTTCCCGAAGCGCTGGGGAAAGTGTTCTCCCCAGGCTCTACCCAGCACACCGTCCTGGGGCCATCAATGTGCACTACTTCAGCCTCAGACACATAGAGCTGCTATTAAGTCTCCCTCCCCGTCACCCCTTGGAATAAGAGACTGGACAGAAGTATGCACCCCTCCTCTCTTTCCAATCCTGCCTGCATCAGTCCTCAAATCTTTCTCTGCCCAAATAAAAATTTAACAAGACAAAACCTACGCATTTTAATTTCTACAATTAGTTGCCTTAAGGTATCCTTTCCTGTTTCTTAGCTTTCCAAAGAGCCCAATTCTGGATCCTATTCCATATCCAAAAAGACTCCACACTAAATGAGAACCAAGGAAAACATGGCTGCCTGTGGATGGGCTTCTGACAGTCCCCAGAGTCCTTCTGCTGTGGAGTTAGCATGTAAAGTCTTGCTTTTCAGGTAGCTGTTACTGCGGCTGTATTTTTCTGTGACGTAAGCAGTGCCGTGCCTGCCCAGAGAATGGTGCAAAGAAGGATTTCTTGCTGGAAAGACTTCTTAATAAGTCATTGCCTGAGGATGAGGTGGTCCTTCTTAATGTACAGAGGAAGAGCTCAGTCACTAGAAGGTATTTACGGCCTGGGAAAGTGAGCACTTGGCCCTCAGCCAGGCTGACCCACTGACAGGGAGGGTCTGGAGGAGCCGCACATGGTGGTTTCTGTCTGCCACTGATTTTTCAGGGAACAGTCACAAGTTGCACCATCGCACCAGGGAACTGAAAGCTTGATGGAGCAGGGTTTGGGAGCACAGGTGTTTGGGGTAATAGAAGGAGCAAGAGAGGGAATGCCTGAAGGAAAGGAGCTCTGAGACATTCCCGAGTGTGCGCAGGGCCCTTGTGCCTGTGGACAATGCTTCTCTGCAGAATTTGGAAATGAGATTGATGGTCAAACCAGGACTATAAGACACACAAAGAGAGGGGCCAGAGACTTATCTCAGTGGTTCTGCCTCCTGCCTCGCAAGCACAAGGTCCTGAGTTCAATGCCCAGTACCAAAAAAAAAAAAAAAAAAAAAAAAAAAAAGAGAGACACACACACACACACACACACACACACACACACACAAAGAGTATTTGTATTTCGATTATCAGACATTTATGCCTTTTCTTTTCAGAATGCAGGAAAAGGGCAAGAGGAAGATCGGAGGAATAGAAGAGCAAGAGGAAGGGTATAAAGGATTAAGGAAAAGAGGCGCTTCTAATCATGAATTACAAAAGGTAGAGAAAGTTGGAATCTAGAAGCTTGACATGTATACATCATTCATTAGTCTAGTTAGCTTGGGCCAAATCTAGTCATCTTTGCTTTCAAACTCTAGGGAACGCTAAGAAATAGCTCTTTCTTGTATCCTGTGATATATGGAAATTGCACAATTTCCTGAGCTCCTGTTGGTTTTACCTACCACACAGGCATGGTTCTGGGCTGCTACCTCCCAAGCCATGGACCCCCATCAAGGAGTTACTTGCTCTCTGCTCTCTGGAGAGGAGGAAGACCATGGCAAACAGGAGCCAGAAGGGAATGTTTTGCTTTTCTGCTCCCTGGGAAGCACTGCTCTGAGAGTCTCTAGAGCATAAATTCAGAAGTGCCCCACCCCAGTGTTTGGGGGATCTTTTTCACTCCAGTGTCTCATAGAACAATGCATGCACTCTTTCCCAATACAATCTGTGTTCAGACGTGATTTATACCAATGTATCAGTATAATTTCCTCCCATCTGTGCTGAGATGCTAAGTTGATACAAATGAATTGCTAATGAAAAATTTAAATACAGTACTCGCCGGCCTTCTATGGAAGTATGTGATCATCTACAAATGGTAAAATCATCCCTCATATGGTCTTTAAGATCCTAAATGATCTGATTTCTGTTTAAGTCCCTACATTTTATCTCATTACTTGCTCCTCCCCTACCTTCTCACGACACTGGTCACACAGCCAGTGCATTTGCTCTTTCTTTTTGAAACTGTCTCCCTTTTCTCTTCACACAGGTGAGACTTTACACCTGAGCTCACCTGCCTTTTCTCACAGGGATCTGCCCTGCTTTCTCAGACCAGGTCAGGTCTTCCTACTGCTACCACGGGCACTCACAGAACAAGGTGCCGCACCCTAGCATTACGATTAGATCTGGATGGATATCATTCGGTAAATTACTATTTAGGAAGACTTAATGGTAACTCCTACACAACTGTATTATCAGAATCAAGAAATTGTCACTGATGCCACAGAGCTGAACTACAGACTGGGTTTATAGGTATATCAATTGGCGTGTACTGTCTGTGTGTGCATATGTAACTATGAAATCACTTCACGTGTACAGATTTATGTCACAGCACAGAAACGGTGCATGGAATCATTCCATCACCACAAAGAAATTCCTTAATACTACCCTTTTATAGTTACAACTATGAATGTCTATGTTATCTATTACTGCAATTTTGTCATTTCTAGAAGGTTTTATAAACAGATTTGTATAATGTATAAATTTTTGCAGTTGACTTTTACATTCAATATAATACCCTCATGTTATGGCCCTCTTATAGAAACAAATTGGACATCTGACCACAAAATGTGGCTTGAATGCCAATTACAGACCAAAAAGATGTGGAAATATTCATTCTCTTATGATAGGCTTTCTGGAGAGAACAGAGCAGGCTCCCAAATAGGCCAGAATCTCACTTAAGAAAGAAAAGAGGAAAAATTACTTTTGCCTTTCACTGTGGTTTGGCAATGGACCTAGAGTGATGGTTCCTATATGTAGCTCAGGGTTTGTGTGGCTTGAACTTTCCACCAGTGTCAAATGAACAAAACCTCTCAGTATGCAAACAGTAGAAATGATGTCAGATACTGCTATGGCTTGTTTCTAGATGCCCTCCCCCCAAAGCCTCATACACTCATAGGTGGGACTTTTGAGAAGTGGCTGGATCTAGGCTGTGTGTGAAAAGTAAATGGACTTAACATAGTTCTGGGTGTGAATAAAGGAAGCCCCAGCCTGGGTGTGCATGGCACCAATCGGGGCTTCTAGCCTGGATGGAATACAAAGCCAGAGATGGGATGCAGGCTTTCTACTCACTGCTTGCTGCTGGTACCTCCTGCCTGCACCGCTATGAACTTTTCCTTTTCCATGATGCTCTGCTTTGCAGCCAGCAAACTATAAAGTGAATCCTGCATAAACTGTGAGACAAAATAAACTTTTCTTTAACTTGTGGGTATCGAGTATTTTGTCTCAGAAATGAGAAATGTAAATAAGACAGGTATTTTCTTCCGCCTTTCAATTCATCCAAGTTGTTGTATGCATTAATCACTCACTGTTATTACTAGGTGTTTTTCTATTGTATGGTTGGATTACGATATGTGCATCAAATCACCCTTGTAAGTGCACTGTTTGTCAATTTGGACTATTTCAAGTGTGGGTCTTATGAACATTTATTTACAGGCTGTTATACAGATATAAATTTTCCTTCTCTATGATACATGTCCAAGCATATAATTGCTCTGTTCTATGGTGTCTATCTATTCCAAAGTGTTTATTCCATTGTCTACTTACTCCACTGGAGATTTCACTGGAGAGTTTTAAGTATTGCAAGCATATGTTGATCTATACTTCTAATAATCTATTTAGCTACTGAGTAAAAATGGCCAAGGAAGACTTAAAGACAGTACTGGGATCAGAAAAGTAGTTGAGCCACCAGCTGGGAAATAAATATGACATGTGCAGAATGATAGTGAATGTACAAGGAACTAGATAAATGCAGCATATCTGTTAAAATAAATAAAAGGTGAGAGTACATTTGATAGCTTTGTTGTTCTGGTTGAAAGAAAAAGAAGAATCAAGTAATTATGGGGTTTTTTTTAGGTTGAGCAATTGGATAGAAAATAGTAGCTCTGTTTATTGAAATGGAGAAGATAGAAGATGAGCAGTGTACACAGAAAATCAACCCTTACATGTTGGTCATTTCCACATTGCAGTGTCCTTTATGCAAATAAAAATATTAAGGAGTCAAGTGAAATTGCTAGAAAAGAGCAGAAATGGAAATAGAAATTTGCAGTAATTGAAATGTAAAAAGGTTTGACAAGAATTTGTTTTTCCCAGTTGAATACAGTGTGGAAAGCAGGGTGAGATGATACAGGATGTTTCTAGCAGCAGAGTAGAATGGTCCATAGGTATAACAGGGTAAAAGGAACGAATAGCATTTGCCACCACAGTGCCCTAGATCGTGATCTCCCACCTTAGCCAAGACCTGGGGTTGGAAACACACAGGACATGAGAAGAATCATAGTGTAAACAGCAATAACTGCAAAGGGTTCAAGATTGTGATGAGTTGAGTTGTACAATGGGTGAAATGGAAGTACCATGCATGTGGCATGTGACACCTGGGCCAGGGCTCAAGAATATAACAGAGGTGTCAGGAGCCTTCCCTTTGGAAATGCCCATCCTGCATGTTTCCAACCCCAGGTCTTGACTAAGGTGGGAGAGATCATGATCTAGGGCACTGTGGTGGGTAGCAAATGTTATGTGTCAGTTTGCTAAGGCATGCTATCTGGATATTCAGTCAAACACAGACCAGAGACCTTTATGCGGGTATTTTTAAATGATAACATTAAAATATAAAGCAGAGTATGTTAATAATGCAGATCATTTGCTATCATGCAAGTGGGCATCATTCAATTAATTGAAAGCCACTGAGAAAGAAATTAGGGAAACAACACCTTTCACAGTAACATCAAACAAAAAAATGAAATACCTAAGAATCAATCAAATGAAGGAAGTAAAAGACCTTTACATTGAAAACTACAGTACTCTGAAAAATGGAATAGGAGGATACAAAGATGATCATAAGGATATCAGAAAATGGAAAGCTATTCCTTCTTTTGTGTAGGAAGAACCAACTTAGTGAAAATGGCCATACTTCCAAAATTGTTATACAGATTTAATGCAATCCTGATCAAAATACCAATAGCATAGCACTCAATGTTAGAGAAGATAATGTTAATATTAATTTGGAATCAGAAAAGACCTAGAATAGCAAACAATTCTGGATGACAAAAGCAAGGTAGGAGGCATAACAACCCCAGACATGAAATTATACTACAAAGCTAATATGACAAAAACTGCATGGTAGTGGGGGGAAAAAACAGGAGGAGCAGAAAAATAGATCAGAAGACACACAAATAACTCCAAATACACTAAACCAACTTATCTTTGACAAAGAGGTCAAACACCTTCACTGAAAGAAAGACAGCCTCTTTAATAAATCAGGCTGGGAAAATTGGCTCTCCACATACCAAAGATTAAACCTAGACCCATATCTCTCACCATGCAATAAAATAAAATAAAAATAGATCAAACATCTAAATATTAAAACAGAAACACTAAATCTGATGGAAGATAGAATAGGTAGAATTCTTGAAGATAGGTGTAAGCAAAGATTTTATGAACAAAACCACAATTGCACAGGATATATCACAAAGATTCAACAACTTGGATCTCATTCAACAGCTTTTGAACAGAACACAAAATCATCTTCAGAGTGAAGAGACAACCCACAGAATTAAAAAGATGGGCTACCTGTTCTTCACACAAAAGATTAGTATCTAGAATATATAAAGAATACAAAATACCAATCCTATAAATTTAGATCCAATCCAAAAATCGGCATCTGAGATGAACACATACATACTCTTTGATGAAGAAATGCAAATAGCAAGTAAATATATAAAAAATGCTCAACATCACTGGTCATTTGAGAGGTACAAATTAAAACAATGCTGAGATTCCATCTCATTTCAGAAAAACTGACTCTTCTCAAGAAATCAACCAACAACAAAAGCTAGTGGGTCTGTGGGGGAAAAGGAATCCTTCTTCACTCTTGTCAGGAATGTAGACTGGTGCAATCACTGTGGAAATCAGTGTGGAGATTCCTCAAAAAACTAAAACTAGAGGCCGGCAGTGGTGGTACACGCCT